TGATATCTTAAGAAGTTGACTGAGTGTTGAATCTCGTGTTTACAAGTGCCAAGATAGATAGATAGATAGATGGATAGATAGATAGATAGATAGATGATGGATAGATGATGGGTTGATAGATAGATAGATAGATAGATAGATGATGGGTGGATAGATAGATAGATAGATAGATAGATAGATAGGTAGATAATAGGGTGGACAGATGGATGGATGTGTTACAGTAACACAACACAACACAACACAACACAACACTTAATGATGTGGAACAAATAATCAAACGCCCTACACGCGTTCCTAATCGACACGATCAACTTTCTAACATTCTTGATATTTGTTTTACCTCTAACCCCTCACACTATTCATACTCAATTTCTGCCACCTTAGGGCTTCTGATCACAATCTTATTTCTATTAAATCAAACTGGGCACGACCTCCCCACCCCATCTAAACGCTAACTATGTGAGGGCAAACTGGCAATCCTTGCGAAATTCTTCCTCCGACTCCTTGGGATGAATGTTGCTTTTCACTAGGGACGCCTCGGTATGTGCTGACAGCATTGCTGGGGTTATACAGGGTGGTATGAGTACATTTATCCATCTTCTGCCAAAACTTTCCTTCACAATCATGGTTTGATTGCTCCTGCTCTCTTGCAGGGGTGAGAGAGGTAGGGCATATCAAGTTATGAAACTATCTCCTCTATTACCCACTCCTCTTTTCATTACTTTTTAGGAATCGTTGAAAGACTATTCTTCGTAGGGCCAAGTGGAATTTTATAAAAGAAAGACCGCTGTCTTTAACTCTTCCTCTAGTAAATCCTTCTGGTCTAACTAAAACATTTGTAATAACTTCTACACTCTCCCTTTCCCCTTCTCTTCCGACCCGATAACTCTATAGCCAACTCTCCTGATAAAGCCAATCTGCAATACATTAGCCAAATTGCTAATTGATAATGCCATCATCATCATCGTCGTCATCATCATCATCATCGTCATCATCATCATCATCATCATCATCATCATCATCATCATCATCATCATCATCGTGTATCACAAAGTGGTCCATGATTGGTGAAGCTCTTTAACAAAGCTATGAGATTACTCATTAAGCTCGGGGAGATTGTAATTAAGCTTAGAGCTCTTGGGGAGAATCAATGGCGTGTAGTTTGTTTTGGTCGTAATTTAAATGACATTACGATCAACTGTGATGGTCTGACGTGTGTCGTGTCGTGTCAGCTGTTGTGTAATGATAATGTATATATTAAGCCTTCAGAAGATCGTGCCAATGTCACTTCTTCTTCTTCTTGATATAAATATCTCTGTCTAACGGAAACATGACCCCAACTAATTGTCCCTTATATAACCTCCCAAAAGGTACCGCATGGCCTTAGAACCTCCTAAGAGGTACCATCATGGCCTTAGAACCCCTAAGAGATACCATCATGGCCTTAGAACCCCTAGAGGTACCATCATGGCCTTAGAACCCTAATAGGTACCATCAGGGCCTTAGAACCCCTAAGAGGTACCATCAGGACTTAGAACCCCTAAGAGGTACCATCATGGCCTTAGAACCCCCTAAGAGGTATCATCACCCCACTGGTCGAGTTTAAGGAAGGTAAAAACCAAGTCGCCGAAGCAGTAAGTTTACACACACACAGCCATGTTGATATTTGCTAAGAAGCTCTCACCAGAACACTCTACACAGGTCACAGCTCTCGGCAAGACTTGAGAATTCTACCTTAATTGCCGCGCCCCCGTGTGCCCCTCTGTCGCCCTCTTCTGTCCCTCTGTCGCCCCGTGTGTCCCTCTGTTGCCCCCGTGTGTCCCTCTCTTCGCCCCCGTGTGTCCCTCTGTTGCCCCCGTGTGTCCCTCTGTCGCCCCGTGTGTCCCTCTGTCGCCCCGTGTGTCCCTCTGTCGCCCCCTGTGTCCTCTGTTGCCCCGTGTGTCCCTCTCTGTCGCCCTGTGTGTCCTCTGTCTCCCCGTGTGTCCCTCTGTCGCCCCCGTGTGTCCCTCTGTTGCCCCGCGTGTCCCTCTGTCGCCCCGTGTGTCTCTGTTGCCCCGCGTGTCCTCTGTCGCCCCCTGTGTCCCTCTGTTGCCCCCGTGTGTCCCTCTGTCGCCCCCGTGTGTCCCTCTGTTGCCCCGTGTGCCCTCTGTCGCCCTCTTCTGTCCCTCTGTCTCACCCCGTGTGTCCCTCTGTCGCCCCGTGTGTCCCTCTGTCGCCCCTGTGTGTCCCTCTGTCGCCCCGTGTGTCCCTCTGTCGCCCCCGTGTGTCCCTCTGTCGCCCCCGTGTGTCCCTCTGTCGCCCCCGTGTGTCCCTCTGTCGCCCCCGTGTGTCCTCCTGTTGCCCCCGTGTGTGTCCCTCTGTCGCCCCCGTGTGTCCCTCTGTTGCCCCCGTGTGCCCTCTGTCGCCCCGTGTGCCCCTCTGTCGCCCCCGTGTGTCCCTCTGTCGCCCCCGTGTGTCTCTCTGTCGCCCCGTGTGTCCCTCTGTTGCCCCCGCGTGTCCTCTATCGTCCCGTCTGTCCCTCTGTTGCTTTGCGTGTCCCTCTGTCGCCCGTGTGTCCCTCTGTTGCCCCTGTGTGTCCCTCTGTCGCCCCCGTGTGTCCCTCTGTTGCCCCGTCCCTCTGTCGCTCCCGTGTGTCCCTCTGTTGCCCCCGTGTGTCCCTCTGTCGCCCCTGTGTGTCCCTCTGTTGCCCCCGCGTGTCCCTCTGTCGCCCCGTGTGTCCCTCTGTTGCCCCCTGTGTGTCCCTCTGTCGCCCCCGTGTGTCCCTCTGTTTGCCCCGTGTGTCCCTCTGTCGCCCCGTGTGTCCCTCTGTTTGCCCCCCACGTGTCCCTCTGTCGCCCCCGTGTGTCCCTCTGTTGCCCCCTGTGTGTGTCCCTCTGTCGCCCCGTGTGTCCCTCTGGCCCCTGTGTATCCTCTGTCGCCCCGTGCGTCCCTCTGTCGCCCGTGTGTCTCTGTTGCCCCGTGTGTCCTCTGTCGCCCCCGTGTGTGTTCCCTCTGTGCCCTCTGTCGCCCCGTGTGTCCCTCTGTTGCCCTGTGTGTCCCTCTGTCCCCCCGTGTGTCCTCTGTTTGCCCCGTGTGTCCCTCTGTCCCTTGTGTGTCCCTCTGTTGCCCCTTTTGTCCCTCTGTCCCTGTGTGTACCTCTGTCGCCCCCGCGTGTCCTCTGTCGCCCCTGTTGTCCCTCTGTTGCCCCCGCGTGTCCTCTGTCGCCCCTGTGTCCCTCTCTTTGCCCCCGTGTGTCCCTCTGTCGCCCCCGTGTGTCCCTCTGTCGCCCCGTGTGTGTCCCTCTGTTGCCCCCGTGTGTCCTCTGTCGCCCCGTGTGTCCTCTGTTGCCCCTGCTGTGTCCTCTGTCGCCCCGTGTGTCCCTCTGTTGCCCCCGTGTGTCCCTCTGTCGCCCCGTGTGTCCCTCTGTTGCCCCCCGCGTGTCCCTCTGTCGCCCCGTGTGTCCCTCTGTTTGCCCCCCGCGTGTCCCTCTGTCGCCCCCCGTGTGTCCCTCTGTTGCCCCGCATTGTCCCTCTGTCGCCCCCGTGTGTCCCTCTGTTGCTGCGTGTCCCTCTGCCTGTGTGTCCCTCTGTTCCCCGCGTGTCCCTCTGTCGCCCCCTGTGTCCTCTGTTGCCCCCGTGTCCCTCTGTCGCCCCCGTGTGTCCCTCTGTTGCCCCCGCGTGTCCCTCTGTCGCCCCGTGTCCCTCTGTTGCCCCCCCAGTGTCCCTCTGTCGCCCCCTTGTGTCCCTCTGTTGCCCCCCTTCTGTCCCTCTGTCACCCCCATATGTCCCTCTGTCATCCCCGTGTGTTTCTCTTTCGCCTCCATGTGTCCCTCTGCCGTCCCCGTGTGTCCCTCTGTCCCCCTGTGTCCATCTACATCCCGATGTGTTCCTCTGTCACCCCCGTGTGTCCCTCCGCCGCACCTGTGTTGACCTCTTTCTTCTCAACATTGACCTGTGACATAATCCCCTGAACTTACTTTCAATATCAAGGTCTGTATCACAGTGTCGCTCAGTGATTGATACTCATTGAGAATCAGACTCAGTGAATGTTTGATTTACTGAACGTTTGACTCATTAGGTTCACTGACCAAGTACACCGTTCACTGACTTCCATCTTTAACTAATTAGTAAACTGATCAGAACTAGATGTACTCTCCACTGACTAAGTACATTATGCATTGACTACTAGCTCCTATGACTAATATGCTAATTCGACATTGTCTATAATGACAGTGCAGTGAATAGATGCTTCTTGTTGTTGATAATCATAAAACCAGGTGACCAGTTGAGTCTGATTGTTGCAGCAGTTCCTGAACCTACGTGATAACTTACTAGTTTTATTCCACCAGGGGGCTGGGGTAAGTATTCTCTGAATATATAAACAACGTGATTAGCAAGAGAGAGAGAGAGAGAGGGGGGGGGGGGGGGGGGGGGGGGGGGGGGGGGGGGGGGGGGGGGGGGGGAGAGAGAGATAACCAAGATTGTACAACAAAGATTCTTCACGCCTCTTGCTAAAGGTATGAGGTCTGATCTTATCTCTCACCCCCCCCCCTCACATCTCCTTCTGGTATTTACTTTTCTTTTCTATGTTTCCTCTGTGTCATATCTATTTTTATTTTGTCTTATCACGCTTATGCTTATATCTTCCATCATAATATCTGTGTCTCTTTTCACATGCTCTCTCTATTCTCTACATCTTATCATTTCTTCTGACGCTTGTTCCGCAGCATCTCTCATTCTCCTGTCCGACACACACTCTCTCCTACCCCTCCCCATACTATCTCAGCTCTTCCTTTTCACATCAACTCTCTCCTCCCACTATCCCCCTCCTCCCCAAACCATCTTCATCCCTGTCTCCACACTATCTATCTCCCTTTCGCCCAACCTCCCCACCTGCCCCTCGGGCGTGTACAGCACCGTGGTGGGAGAGAGGAGGGGCAATAAAGCCCAGCGAGGGGACGGAGAGAGATAAGGCCTCGTGAATCACAGGAGCGCCCGCCTTGCCTCGCCATGTTTACCTTCTCATTGTACATATGCTCGTGTCGATCAATTTAAGATCGAACCTTTGTGTTGTTGCTTTTCAATCTTAGGACTATCTCATGAAGACCCTTTTGAAGAGTTCGTCGCAGGCGGAGAGGCGGGTGGCGCGTCCCCAGCTTTTGAGCTGGCTGAAGTGTCCTCAGGAGTTGTTAGAAGCAAGTGGAGAGCCAAAGGAAGGGGCGCACCTCCTCCTTTTCCTGACGGAGGTGTACGCTCGACCCGCCAGCAAATGTCCTCAACTTCAACCTCGTTATGCCAACATGTCGGGTCCCAGGAGCGCCTCCCCTCCCTACTTAGCCAAGACTCTCTCTCCCTCCTTCAGGTTACACCTCTTCCAAGTCCTCATTGTTCCTGGACGTCAAATTTGTATCTTAGGGAGACGTTACATCCCTGGAGTTTCCATTTACTAAGTGTTCTGTTTCAACGATCTTTACAACAATCCCGGGTCATTGGGCTGAAAATTTTGCCTCACTTGTTTTAGCAGCAGCTGCGAGTGTCTGAAAGTTCACTTGCTCTCTGAGGCAATGGTCGACCTGCTGCCAGAATGGTCCTCACCTCCACCCTGGGCATTAACTACGACACAACACCTCTTTAGTGAGATGACTTGGAAACATTTGACTTCACTCTGTGACACACGCGATAACTTTACGATACCCTCATATGTTTGACCTGACTCCAGCGACTGATATTTAATTGTGATTCTTGCAAGACTACACTGTATATATATATATATATATATATATATATATATATATATATATATATATATATATATATATATATATATATATATATATATATATATATATATATATATATATATATATATATATATATATATTATTATATATATGGTGTGTGTGTGTGTGTGTGTGTGTGTGTGTGTGTTCTTTTCTTATCGTGCTGATGTTATTCTGAGTGTTTTGATGCACAGTTGAGAATGATGGATAGTTTAGAAATTAAATTACAGGATCACAAATGTTAACTAACAATAATGACAGTAATTTAGACAAATTTATCATAAAATCTTTAGAACACAATAATATACACCTGTCTTGGATTTGCTATCACACACACACACACAAACACACACACACACACACAAAAACACACACACACACACACACACACACACACACACTCATCTCTACCCAACAGCGTCAGCAAGAGAAGGTATAGAAGAAGGCCTGCAGAATCATGCTGTGCTCGACAGACTACTCCGCTACAACAACGCCTTCCACCATGGAAATGCCATCCCCAGTGACCTCCACAACCACGCACTAGCAGGGTTTGGTAGTGGACTACTGCACCATCCTCCTCATCGCCACCTACTACCACCTGCAGTCCCCGGCCCACCTCGCTCAGTCCGACACTACAACAAAATTCAGCCCATAAGAGCCCGCACTGATAGATATAAGAATAGCACCATCCCATCTATTGTTAAAATAATAAATAGCTCCTGATTTATGTACTGTACAGCCCTGTAAATGTATTGAACGTATATTATTATGTCAAAATCACATGTGAGTTTGTATATTTTCAGCCACCGGCTGCAACTCTATTAATAAACCGTTTATTATTATTATTATTATTATTATTATTATTATTATTATTATTATTATTATTATTATTATTATTATTATTATTATTATTATTATTATTATTATTATTATTATTATTATTATTATTATTATACACACAGAGTTTCAGGCCAACTTTAGTCCCAATAAGACTTCTTTAGCTTAACATCAACCATGACAACTATTACTGACAAAGTTTACTTGCGTTACAGTACTTCTCGCCAGCAGTTCACACTGAAGCACATGTTGAAACTAAAAGGGGATCCATACACCCGTTCTGGACAATACACAAGGAGGCAGCGACACCGTCACTACACACGCGACAGGAGATGAAGACTTTATCCACTTGACCAACTCACTCCATTTATTTTAATTCGAGAAAGTAAACATATTTTTAATACACATCCATTTAAAATCTGGTTACACTTTTACGATGACTATATATTTCATGGACTGGCTGTTAGGGTAAAATTACCATCAGATGTTGTTTTCCAATTGTGTGTTAATTAGTAATATTTCACAGGTAGGAACACTGTCACTGAGTACTTTCACCTGTTGGATAATAAAAGCAACAATCAAGGTGATTAAAGCTAGATTTCGTTGTCTTTTATTGTGTTTAATATGTTGAATTATTTTTTTTTAGATTTTGAGAGTGTGTGTGTGGGTGTGTGTGTGTGTGTGTGTGTGGCAGCTTCAAGACTGAAATTCAGTATGCAGACGACCTCACCCTCGTGGCTCACACTGAACGCGACCTACAGGAGATCCTGAACACCTACGCAGATGCGTATGCACATTTGGCCTAAGGTGAATGTACATAAGACTACATTCTCTTTAGTCTGCCCCTGGTTTAGACACACCTGCAACATCCATCCATCTTAACGGTACTACCCTCTCTAATGTTACCCACTTTTAGTATCTCGGCCCCACCTTTCCACCAACGCAGACATCGATGAAGAGATTCAACATCAGATCAGCTGTGCATCTCAAGCCTTTGGCAGACTCCAAACGTGTCTTCAGCTGTAGGAGCTGAAATTATCTACAGTTGCCCGTATATCAAGCAGTGGTCCTCCCTCCTGTTATACGGCAGCGAGACATGGGTCACATACGGAGGCACCTGAAGGCACTTGAAAACTTTCGCCAACGTAGTCTACGTTCCATCCTCCGAGTTCGCTGGAAGACAAGAGAACAAATGCCAGTATTCTCACTGACACCAACTGTAAGAGCGTCGAGGCTACCATTATCCATGAACAGCTACGTTGGACTGGTCATGTTACCCGCATGGACGACAGTAGATCGCCAGAGCAGCGACTTTACAGTCACCAAACAATGGTAAACTTAACGCTGGCGGGCAACTGTAAAGGCATAAGGATAGTCTTAAGACAAACCTGAAAAGTGCCAACTCGATCCCCTCACCTGAGAGACGATCACCCACACTGTAACGCTTGAGGAGCACCACACGAGAAAGTGTCAATACTTTCGAGTTAGCCCGACTGTATACCGAGGCAGACAAGCACCAACGCTGGAAAGACGCTGCCGCCCTCCGCACTAAATGTAGACTACCACAGGTGCAACATCTGTGGACGACCCTGCCGTTCCCGTATCGGCCTCTTCAGTCACCCCAGAGCTCACTAACGAAGGTAACATCCTTAATAACTCATATCATTGTATCTTAGCTGGATGATCGTCATACTCGATTACGAGTGACAGCAAAGTAGTGTGTGTGTGTGTGTGTGTGTGTGTGTGTGCACGTAAGAGAGGGAGAGAGAGAGCATCAACATCTTTGAGTTTCTTTCCACTTCTGATCTTCCTCCCTCCACTAATCGACCCCTCACTCACTCCTCACCTTCACCTCACTCATCGACCTCCTCACTCCTCCCTCACCTTCGCCTCACTCATTCTCCTCACTCACTCTCACCTTCATCGACCTTCCTTCTCCTCTACTCAGCTTCCAAGAATTCTGAATTGCCCTTGAGTCCCCCCTCCCTCCATCTCCCTTTCCTTCATCCCTCCTCCTTCCCCACCTACCTCCATCCTCTATTCTCTATCCCATTTCTCTCTCTCCTTCATTTACCTCACTGTCCTCTCACTTCAGTTTGTCTCCCATCGCCTCTCCCTCTCTCTCCTTATCTCTACTTCCTTCCTCTTCCTTGCCTCAGGGTCTCTCTCCTCTCACTCTTCATCTGTCTCCTCTCACCCTTTTACTC